ATATTCAAAATAAACTACTTAATAAATGCTTCTTCAATGGACTGGACTGATCCCTACACATGGTGGGAGGGGTAAGAAAGATCTAAAGATCTTTTAGATCTAAAGAAAGATCTAAAATAGCTCCGAGATACCTAGTTTTGATGAAAAATTAGAGGCTAACATCACAGCCACAGAGAAGCAAGTTAAAAAGGTAGGAAAAGGAGAGAAGTAAGGTCAGCTTTAGGTATACTTGTAACCATTTATCACTTTAAATATTTGCAAACAACTAGATATAAATATGAAGCCCAAATAAGGGTTCTAAATACAAACAGGTGAGAATTATAAACTGCTGGTAGGATATGGAGAGTTTATGTAGAGAAGGAAAACTGAGGGGAGGAAATTAAGGAATACCCCTATTAGAGTCATGTGGAAAAAAAAAATGAGTCCATGAAAGAGGCTCATTTACTCATTCACCTATTCGTCAAATATTTTCTGAATGTATTTACTACATCCCAGGCATTGGAGACACAACCTTCAGCTGTATCCTCAGATTATCACCTATGGGGGGGGGGGGGGTTGAGAGACAAATAAGATGAATTCAATTAATAGGAAAAACAAAATGATATGGACAGTCCTAACCAAGACCTGAGAAGTTACAGTAGACCTTCCAAAAGCTGAGCTGAGCAGAGATCTCACATAAGAATAAACAGGAGTAAACCAGGCAAAAGCAAAGGGGTGAGGATGGGAGAAGTAGAGAAAGTAGTATTTCAAACAAAAAAAAATTTGTGTGAAAGACTCCAAAATGAAAGATTCAAGGAATGAAAAAAGGCCAATGTAGCTGAAGCATGGAGTGTGAAGTTGGAGTGGTAGAAGAGACTGATTTTTACCAACAGAACGATTTTAAGATTTTAACAAGGGTGGTTAGATCAGATTTCATTTCTGAAAGATCACTATGGCCACAGTATTGGAAAGTGGATTGGAGAGGCAAGAAAACTGAAGCACAAAAACCAGTTGAGAATCTGGAGAAGTAATCTAGGCAAGAGATGGTGGTGGCCTGAACTAGAAGTTATGGCACAGTGAACAGAGAAGTGACCAGATCTGACATATTTTAGGAGACAGAACTCTAGGGCTTGGTGGCTCATTAGATAATAGGGACAGAAGATAGGAATCAAGAAAGATGCCCAGGCCTCTGGCTTCAACAACAGAAGAGGGTAATACCACTCATCAAGATGGAGAACAGGTAAGGAAAACAGCTGTTTGGGCAGTGACAAGTTTGAGGAGCCTGGGGTACATCCAAGTAAAGTTGTCCAATGGCAGTCAGATATGCAAGACATATGGACTGGAAGTATACATTCAAAGTCATCCACAAATAAATGGTAACTGAAGCCACGGAGAATAGATGAGATCCTCCAGAGAGAATATGAATAGCACAAGAGAATGAGAAGGAAAGTCAGATAGTTAGGAAGAATTGAGAATTATGTGGCAGAAGGAAGGAGTGAGTTTCCAGGAGGAAGTCAACAATGCTGAATACCACAACATAGTTTAGAATAAGGTTTAAAATGTTTTTATTTTTATTTTTGAGAGAAGAGAATCCTAGGCAGGCTCCACACTCAGCATAAAACCTGATGCAAGCCTCTATTCCACAACCCTGGGATCATGACCTGAGCCAAAATCAAGACTCTGACGCTCAACCAACTGAACCACCCACGTACCCTGGGTCTGGATAACATTTTAAAAAAAGAAAAAAAAAAAGTCCTTCTGATTTATCAATTAAGAAGTCACTGACATTCTAACTAAGAGCTGTTTCAATGAAGTGGCTTGAGCACAATTAGATTATAATAGGCTGAGGAGAACGTGAAAAAATGGGAATTCCTTTTTAAGAAGACTGGCTGTGAATGAAAGGAGAAAGGCAAAATAATGGAAGAAAAGTAAACAATTTTATAAAGAGAAAAACATATGAGTTTTCTTGAGGTCTAGAGATCTTGTGTTTCACACAGAAAAAGAAGCCAGGTGAAAAGGAGGATCTGAGAACTGATGAAGGCATTATCTAATAAACATATCAAAGGGCACAAGTAGAAATAGAATGTTGATTCAATGCTGGAGCAGACTTGATAAATAAAATACCTTTAACTCTCTTTCCACAAGATTATTATACACTGCCAATGAGAACATAAACTAGTACAATCACTAGTTTCACTAGTGCTAGTGACACTCAGCACCAGCTAGCAAAATGTTAAACATGTGTATTATTCAAGCTGACAATTCTGTATCTAGGAATTTCTCCCAACAACATACTTGCATTGGACAAAATGACGAGTACAATTCACAACAGCACTATATAAACCAGAAAAAGACTGGCTATGACCCAAATACCTATCAATAAAACACTACTTATGATATATCCACACAAACTAGGTAGGTGTGAAAAAAATTTCAGGGTGTTCATGAAAATCTCCCGTATTATTGTTATATATAAAACACACATATTTATGGATATAAATATATCCAAGAGTCCTTCATGGACTCATTTTTTTCCACATGACTCTAATAGGGGTATTCCTTAATTTCCTCCCTTCAGTCTTCCTTCTCTGCATAAACTCTCCATACTCTACCAGCAGCTTATTAATAATTCTCATCTGTTTGTAATTTAGAACTCTTATTTAAGCTTCATATTTATATCCAGAATATATATATTTATTGAGACATATATCTCTCAAAAAACGCAGCCAAGTATGAGTGTTACCTCTTGTCTATAAAAAGATAGAAAACAGAATCCCCTTTATATTTGCTTTATTATGCATAAAGCTCTCTGGAGAGAGAATCTAAGAACAGAGATTACCTTCTGTGGAGGGGACTCACAATGGACAGATTCTGGACAAGTGTTAAGATCTTACCCTTTAATATTTTTATATTTTCTACCTTGTGAGTGATGAGAATACATTTCTCACTCAAATTGTTAAACTAAAAAAAACTTCAAATTTTTTTCTGAGCTAGAAGGAATCTAATGATATTTATAAATTTCCAGACTCAAGATCTGAGACAGAAAAGTTTAAACAGCAGAGTTTATGCTCTTCTTTTTCTCCATGGAGTGGCTGAGGAAATAAAGAGAAACCTAAGAGGTCACCACAGGATTGAGAGTCAGAAAAAAGTGAAGCCTGAAATAGAAGCTGTGGATAATGGAAGACTGAATTTAAAAATACAGAATGAGGAGTGCCTGGTTCCGTCAGCTGGTTGTGGGACTGTAGCTCAAGACATGGTCTCGCAGTCCGTGGGTTCGCCGCGCTTTGGGCTCTGTGCTGACAGCTGAGAGCCCGGAGCCTGCTTGGGATTCAGTGACCGTCTCCTTCTCAAAAAATAAACATTAAAAAAAAAAAACTAAAAATACATAAGGAAAATACACTAGATTTGACTAAGAATTCTCCATGTGAAAAGAAAAAAAAAAAACACGTTGGTCCAATTCAACAGAATACATAACACCTGAAAACCATCATCCTGTGGGAAGAGGAAATTTAGAGATCTTCTAGGACAATTTACTTACACATTTGACAGTAGGAAGGCATTCCAAAAGAGACCAACCCTCCTCGCACCGCCCCCCCCCCACGCTATATTCTTTAACCTCGCTGTATTTTCAGAGCCTAGCATGATACTTGGACAGGCTGACACTCAAAAATTCAACTATTCAATAAATCCACTGTGGCCCTGGGGAAAATAAGAACGGAGTTCTTTGCTTCAAAGTCCAAACAACGGAATTTGTCTTACTCTTCCGCGCGCCATTTCAATACGGGAAGGGGGTGTATCAGACATACCCCGGAGCGGAAAGACGAGAGAACAAAAATCACCTGACCAGGGGCGACCAGGGGCATTAACGCTACGTTCCCCTGCACCCTCCATCTCTCATAACCCCAGCTTTGTACCCGGCCTGAGGAATGTTGAGGACACGACTGGGAATACTTGGGCGGCGATTACGGGAGAGGCCGCAAATCCTCATTTAATTCAACTGCCCACTTTTCCCTCCTTAGATGGGTCGCCGCGGAGTGTTCTGAGTAGTTACGTACCCTCGTCCGCGTCATACATATTGGCAAAGGGTTCCCAAGTTCCTAACTCTAGAAATCTGAGAAAAACGAGCAGCAGCGGTCGGCGCCGGAGCGTGAGGCGAAGTAATTTCCGTCTCCGGCGTTCCCAGAATGCTCTCCTTCCCAGGCCAGAGACCGCCCACAAAGATCTGCGGCTGCGCAAGTGGTAGGCGAAGCCTTGGTAAGGGTTAGAATTGCGCACGCGTAAATCGTCCACCAACGCCGCTTGTGGCTGCTTGCGAGGAAAGGTCTTGCAGTCGGCGCGTGCCAGTTAAAAGTTGGTTTTTCTATATCCTTGCACAAATAATGACACCTGGAAAAAAAAGAGTTAATAAAAGGTTTTTTTTTTAATTTTTTTTTAATGTTTTATTTATTTCTAGGAGTGAAGGAGAGAGAGAGAGACAGCATGAGCAGGGGAGGGTCAGAGAGAGAGGGAGTCACAGATTGAAACAGGCTCCAGGCTCTGAGCCGGCAGTCAGCACAGAGCCCGACGCGGGGCTCGAACCCACGAACCGCGAGATCATGACCTAAGCGAAAGTCGGACACTCAACCGACTAAGCCACCCAGGCGCCCCGAGTTAATAAAAGGTTTTAATTGGAACCGTGAGTATGCGGCATTCGACTTTTCTTTGCACTTCTAACGACCAAAAAGCATTAAGTTTTAAAAAATGAGATTCATTATAAGCAGGTCGTGCCAGCGGTGGCGCGTAGAATAATCCCGATAGTAAAACCCTCACTAGCCTCCTGCCCACCTCGCTCGGCCTAAATCGCCGGTGCTTTTGCCGCAGTTTTGAATGGGTTCTCCGGCCTCATTTCCTTTATCTAGAGAACCCACAGGATTAGACGCGAAAGGAGGAGTCTAAATGTGTCTGACAAATGACAGCCCTCCCCTAGTCCCGGGTTTACGTCTCTGGTTTACGCTCAGCAGCTAGTGCGCCTGCGCGCGCGTGATTCCGCCCCCTCCCCCCCTTACGCGTGGCTGTGTTCCGCATGCTGCCTGCACGCCTGACTTGCAGGCTACTGCGGCCCTTTTTACGGGCATCTGCTCCCACGGTAGCGCGCCATGGCCCTCGGGAGCCGCTTTTCGAGAGATGCGCGGCCGCCTCTTCCTCCCAGGACCTATCTGGCCTGGGACGTAGGCTTTCTCGTGGCTCAACGGCAACTGGGGGTTACGAAGGGGGGGCTGACATGGAGGAGCATTTTCTGTTCCCCGAGTACGTCTCGGAGCCCGAGGCCGCACCGACCCTCACAGAGCAGCTGCGAGAGCGGCAGCAGCGACAGGAGGAGGAGGAGCGACAGAAACAGCAGCGGCGGGAAGAGCGGCGGCAGCAAAAGCTGCGGGACAAGAGGCAACACCCGGTCGTGGGACACCCGGACCCGACGGTGCCACCCAGCGGCCTGAACTGCTCGGGCTGCGGAGCGGAGCTGCACTGCCAGGATCCTGGCGTGCCCGGCTACCTCCCCAGCGAGAAGTACCTCAGCGCAGCGGCGCAGACCGACGGCGGGCTGGCGCGGACCGTGTGCCAACGCTGCTGGCTCCTAGTGCACCACCGGCGCGCCCTGCGCGTACAGATGAGCTGCGAGCAGTATCGAGAGCTGGTGAGCGCCGCGCTGCGAAGGCCGGGGCCCGCCCTGGTGCTCTACATGGTGGACCTTCTGGATCTGCCCGACGCCCTGCTGCCGGAGCTGCCAGCGCTGGTGGGCCCCCGGCAACTGATCGTGCTGGGGAACAAGGTGGACCTGCTGCCCCAGGACGCGCCCGGCTACCTGCAGCGGCTCCGGGAGCGCCTGTGGGACGACTGTACCCGCGCAGGGCTCCTTCGGCCGTCCAGCCACCGAGGACCACAGCAGGCCCAGGAGGACGGGCCGCGAGACGGGAAGGAGAATTCGAATCCTTCTGCCAGGGCCCGCACGGTGCTCAAGGACGTGAGGCTCATTAGCGCCAAGACTGGTTACGGAATCGAAGAATTGATCTCAGTGCTTCAGCGCTCCTGGCGTTACCGTGGCGACGTCTACCTGGTTGGCTCCACCAACGCTGGCAAGTCCACTCTCTTCAACACGCTCCTAGAAAGCGATTACTGCATCGCCAAGGGCGCCGAAGCTATCGACAGAGCCACCATCTCCTCTTGGCCTGGTGAGCCTTAGGAGGCCCGTCCCCTGCCTTTTCCGAGATGCTCAATCTCGTCACGGGCACCGAGTATATTCTTCCTAGTTCTTCTTTCCACCAGGGGCTGTGTGGAGTCTTCCCTTTAAAAAGTATCCCCCGGGGCGCCTGGGTGGCTTAGTCGGTTAAGCGTCCGACTTTCGCTTAGGTCATGATCTCGCAGTTCGTGGGTTCGAGCCCCGCGTCGGGCTCTGTGCTGACTGCCAGCTCAGAGCCTGGAGCTTGTTTCAGTCTGTGACTCCCTCTCTCTCTGACCCTCCCCTGCTCACGCTGTCTCTCTCTCTCTCCTAGAAATAAATAAAACATTAAAAAATAATAATTAAAAAATAATAATAAAAAGTATCTCCCTACTTTGGTCACTCTTCTCTTTTGTGTCAGCCTAGTGCTCGGAAACTTATATGTTAGAGTAATTTTCTCTAATTTAAATATTCATGGAGCACTTACATGTTCCAGCCACTGTGCTAGGCACTGTAGATGAACCATAAAGCAAGAGTTCCTGTTCTCTTGGAGGTTTCTCTGGTAGCTTTACTTCTTTGTATGTTTCTCTAGAAAGCCCTTCGTTTACTTTTTTCTTCTTTTACTTTCTAAAGCTCACTCCACCCTCTCAGTCTTATTCTTCATATCTTAAGTTTATTCGTAAGATCAGTATACTATACACAGTTAACATTTGAGTATTCACTAATTCTATATGATGTGTGACTTTGAGGGGGGGAAAAGTCAACTTTGTGGTTTTGGGTTTTTGTGGGGGGGAGGGTTCTAAGATTTTTAAGTAATCTTTACACCCAGCGTGGGACTTGAACTCACAACCCTGAGATCAAGAGTAGCAGGCTCCACTGACTGAGCCAGCCAGGCATCCCTCAATTTTGTGGTTTTAAGAAATTTCTGTAGGGGCGCCTGGGTGGCTTAGTCGGTTAGGCGTCCGACTTTCGCTTAGGTCATGATCTCGCGGTTCGTGGGTTCGAGCCCCGCGTCGGGCTCTGTGCTGACTGCCGGCTCAGAGCCTGGAGCCTGTTTCGGAGTCTGTGACTCCCTCTCTGACCCTCCCCTGCTCACGCTCTCTCGCTCTCTCTCTCTCTCTCCTAGAAATAAAACATTTAAAAAAATTAAAAAGAAAGAAATTTCTGTAATTGCAAAACGGGTCCTTTTGTGACCTTGTCTGTATTTAACAGTTGGCAAAACTGCCTCATTTGTTCCTTTGAAACCAGTGTTTAACTTTGATGGGGCTAACTTCTCTGTCCAGGACTTTGGTTAAATTATACACAGAAGTGCTCTTATACTGGTGGTACAATGAAAATTTAAAAAAAAAAAACAAAAAAAAAACAGGTCTGCAGATTTGAGATTCAAATCCAGGTTGAGCCTTTGAGCCAATCTCTGAGCCTATTTCCTCATCTGTAAAAGTAAGAATGATTTTGTAGGGGGTTGTCATGAAGGTTCCATGAAGTACCCAATCACTGTACCTAACTAAGACATGGTAACTCCTCAAAAATGTAGGTTTTCCTCCCCTTATTTTCTCTTTTATAACGTTTATAACAATATATTTTTTGGGATTTCAGGTACTACATTAAACCTTCTGAAGTTTCCTATTTGCAACCCAACACCTTACAGGATGTTTGAAAGGCAAAAAAGGCTTAAAAAAGATGCAACTGAAGCTGAAGAAGATCTTAGTCAGGAAAAACAACGTCAACTTAATTTCTTGAAACGACATGGTTATGTAGTAGGTAAGCATCCTTTGGAAAACTTGTTGGGGCATGCTAAAAAATTTTTGTGGAGCAACGTAGAGTACAGCTGTCTGGGGCTAGCCAGTTTTTGTGGGAAGAGACTACTTTCTCCATTCTGGAACAAAGAAGCCCTTTAGAGGCAAAGCTACTATTTGGAAACCCACAGTTCATTGTGCTGAGAAAATTGAAACAGTAGGTACTTGGAGAAATCCAGGGAAGAAAACACACAGTAACTGCCCACCAACCATTGTCAGCAGTAGAAGCATTTTCACTAAGAAACAGCACCCAGTCCTTGCAGACCAGCACAGGTTGTTGAACCCATGCAGCAGCTTTAAATTAGATTGTCCCTCCTTAGGGTGCCTGGGTGGCTCAGTCGGTTAAGGGACCAGTTTGTGAGTTCAAGCCTCACTTCAGGCTCTGTGCTGACAACTCAGAGCCTTGAGCCTGCTTCAGATTCTATGTGTATTATCTCTCTCTCTCTCTCTCTCTTTCTCTGCCCCTCCCTGTCTCACACTCTGTCTGTCTCAAAAATAAAAAAAATATTTTTAAATAGATTGTCCCTTCTTTACTGAAAATAGTTTGATTTCTAGCACTTTCCACCCATCCCCCCACCCAGTGTACACAGCTAGCCACATACTTGACCATTGCAAGAGTCTGACTCCCAATGCCTTTGAAAAGAGGGCAAGGGTATCATTGTAGTCTTGCTTCTGTACACCATATTTAGTCTAACTTGTTTGAGGCAAGTAAGAAGAATAAGAATTATCTGTCTGGAGTCAAAAGCTTCTAAGGAGTGACTAATAGCTTAACTGTAACTTGTTCTAGGAAGAGTTGGAAGAACATTCGTGTATTCAGAAGAACAGAAGGATGAAGCTGCTTTTGAGTTTGATGCTGATTCCCTTGCCTTTGACATGGGAAATGAACCTGTTATGGTTGCAGATAAAGCCACCAAACGAATAGAATTGACCCCACAAGATGTGAAAGATGCCCACTGGTTTCATGACACCCCTGGAATTACAAAAGAAAATTGTGTATGTATTTGTTGTCTTTTAGAAATACTAACTTTCAGTTACACAAGTACTGTTTTAATTGGCAGAACACAGGAAAGGAGGTGTTCTTTCACTTTAGACTCCATTCTGGTTCGTTCATAGAAGCGGTTCAGGGTGATCTATCTGCCATCAAGATCTGTATTCCATTTGGTAGACTTCGCTGTCCACAACCTATTTGTGGTAGTGAGGTTGTTACCTTAGTTAGGGAGACATTTATAAAATCCTAGATCTTGAAGTTAGAAGAAACTATAAATATCACTGCAGTCCAGCCACCTGTTCTATGCTTGAATTCCCTCTAAACCCATCCATCCGGCTCACACTAAAGGAGTGACTCACCACCAGCTGAAGCAATGTCCCCTCATCTCCCAAGGTAACCCCATTTGGCCTCTGACCTACTCTGTGTTGAGCTGAACAGTCTCCCTGTAACTTGTACCCATTGTTCCTCAAATGGACCTAGATGGACTAAATTCCTGTTTCCCTTGCTAGACTTTGAACCACTTTAAAGTATAATGTCCTGTCTCTTTTTCATTCTATACTCTTCTCCTTCATTAGTTCATCCAACAAAACATTGAACATTTACTGTGTTGACATAATCCAGATAATTTGTCTGTTTCTTGCAGCTGTTCTCCCTGTTTGGCAACTGAGGCCCCTTTTCAGAATATTTTCTAATTTGTTTTTGTCTTTAAAGTATGACACTAAAAACTAAGTTTCTTATATAAGTACTCTCAGGTGAGCGTAATTTAGAATAGGATTAATTCTCTCTCCTCTCTCTCTCTCTCTCTCTGTCCCTCCCTCTCTCGCCCTTAATTCATCTTTTTTTTTTCTTAATGTTTTTGAGAGCACGCAAGTGGGGGTGGGGCAGAGAGAGAAGTACAGAGGATCTTAAGCAGGCTCTGCACTGACAGCAGTGAGCCTGATGTGGGGCTTGAACTAATAAACTGCAAGATCATGACCTGAGCTGAAGTCGGACACTCAACCAGATGCTCACCTGACTGAGCCACCCAGGTAGCAGTCCTTAGTACATCTTGTCAGTCCAATTGCAAGATCTTCGAGCAACTTTGTTTTATCTCATTAAATTCAGCCTATATCCCACACATTCATTAAATCTCACAACTTCTTATTCATTTGCCATTTTGATCATCATCCAAGCCTTAGTATGCATCCAGGATATAGCCTCACAACAGATCCATTAATCAGTTTCCTTTGAATCTGGTCACTGACCCAGGTTCCTGATTTGCCTAATTATGTCTATATGCTTATGAAACATTGGTGTCTTAGCTTCTTTTCCTTCTTTGCCTTATATGGATCACTTAACAGTTTCATTATCAAAATGATACTCTTATTTCATGTCTCATGTCACAGAATCATATAGATCTTTTAACATTTTTGCACTCTCACAATAATTGCTTATCACCTGTGTCTTCCTTCGCAATCTAGAACTTAAGAGCAACTGGACTGCTTTCTGGTAGTGTTCCAGCACTTTCACTTCACCAGTGTATTCTTCTGGGTTAGCAGTTACTTCCATCATATATACCCTCTTGTCAAGTAGAAAAGCAAGAATTTACTAAATATTCTAGCCAACAGATGAGACCCTCAAGTTTTTAAATCTAAAAGGTCTCTGGCAGTTAGCTTCTGTGTCAGTTTATTGATACATTTATTAGATGCTTTAAACCAGTGTTTCCCAAACTGATTCAAAGAATTCTGTTGTGAAATATAAGTATTAAGGTCTCAGCTAAAAAGCATTAAAAGGTTTACTTCAGGTGGCTCTTTTTTTTTAATTTTTATTTTATTTTTGAGAGAGAGCATGAGCGGGTGAGAGGCAGAGAGAGAGACACAGAATCTGAAACAGGTTTCAGGCTCCACAAAGCCCAATGTGGGGCTTGAACTCACAAACCATGAGACCATGACCTGAGCCAAAGTCAGATGCCTAACTGACTGAGCCACAGAGCCACCCCTGCAGGTGGCTTTTAATGAGCTTTTTTCAAACAAATGCTGAGGAAGAGTAGTTGCAGCCCCTTGTTATGTATTTTCTTGTGAGGCACTCTAGGTTTCACATATTCTTTATTTCCGTGTTATTTTTCTTAAGAAACAAGTTCACAAAAGTTTTTTATCCATTTCTTTTACCTTCTCTAATATTTCTCTTCAAAAAACATTTTTTTAAGTAATCTCTACCCCCAATGTGGGGCTCAAACTCACAACCCTGAGATCAAGAGTCACAGACTTCCTTGACTGAGTCAGCCAGGTGCCCCATTATATTGCTCTTTTTTAATCAGATTTTGATTCCTTAAATCTTACCAAAATCTTGTTCTTTGTGGCTTTCCTTTTCTATTTTCTCTAGTCTCTTTAGGAACCCTTCATCCTTAAAAGCCAGAGGATTCGTTTAAAAAAAAAAAAAAAAAGCCAGAGGATTCATAACTTTCTCTCATTTTTTACTGAGCATTTTGGGGAAATAAAATGAAGACTAGAATTCAGAAAAGTGTTCTTCAGAACTCTTTACCTGATCCTAGAATGAGGTGACCATTTTGCATTTAATGCATGCATATTTGTCACTGGGATATAAGTGGCATTTTGCCTTACCTTTAGCTCTAAACTACTCTCTAGAAACCTTGATGGAGAGCAGATATGTACTGTCTTAGGACTGACTCATCAGTTGTTTTCAGACCCAGCAGTTTTGACAATTGAGGGATGTTGCTCACATAGAAATTCTCATACTCCCATAAAGTTGTTTTGCCATTACTCAATATTAAGTTGTGAAACCATTCATAAATTGATTGATTTAGACTGAATGTAGCAATTTTATATGCAGCAAATTCTGACACATTTTGGTTTATTGTGAAGTCTGGAATTTTTTTTTTTTTTTTTTTTTACCACTTCTTACCTAAGAGGTAAATCAAAATATATCATATCTTCAATAAAAGCAATTTTCAGGGCACCTGGGTAGATAGTCGGTTGAGCGTCCAACTTTGGCTCAGGTCATGATCTCCTGGCTCAGGAGTTCAAGCCCCACATGAGGCTCACTGCTATCAGTGCAGAGCCTGCTTCAGATCCTCTGCCCTGCTTCTTTGCCTCTCCCCTGCTTGCACTCTCTCAAAAATAAATAAACATTTTTTTAAAGTAATAATTCTGTAAAAAAATACCCTCTGCTTTACAGATTTTAAACCTTCTAACAGAAAAAGAAGTAAATCTTGTTTTGCCAACACATTCCATTGTTCCAAGAACTTTTGTGCTTAAACCAGGAATGGTTCTATTTTTGGGTGCCATAGGCCGCATCGATTTTCTGCAGGTAAGAAAACTCTGCACCATTAAAAAATAACTTGCTGGGACATCTGGGTGGCTCAGTCAGTTGAGTGTCTAGCTTCAGCTCGGGTTGTGATCTCGAGGTTTGTGGGTTCAGGCCTCACATGGGGCTTTGCATTCGCTCCTCCCTCTTTCTGTCCCTGTCTGTCTGCCTCTCACCTGCTTGTACTCTCTATCTCAAAAATAAACATTAAAAAGAATTTTTCATATAAAACGACTTACTATTAGGATTACTTTAAGGATACGGATATGTGAACAAGACTGGCAGATGTTAATAACTAGATCATGACTGTGTAGGAAGTTGGTATGCTTTTTGTTTATTTGTTTGAAAATGTCCATAATAAAAACGTGGGGAAAAGAGAGGGGGAAGAAAAACAACTAGGTCTCAGAAACCAGATCTTCATTAGGGTATTAAATGCCCCAGACAGCTTGGCATGGAGGAAAGATACTATCCTGTGGTGGTGTTTCACATGGAAATCATAGGTCCAGCCTTAGGTACAGGGTTAATGTGCATTAAATAAATCCCACACTTCTTTTTTTGTTTTGCTTTATTTAAAGGTTTTCTTTTTAAGTAATCTTAATACCAAATGTGGGACTCGAACTCACAACATCCCGATCAAGAGTCACATGCTCCACCACCTGAGCCAGCCAGGCACCCTGTCACATTTCTTTATATCCCATGAAATGTATACCTTTATGTATATACTTTTTTGTTTGGTATTCATTTACATGGCATTATTCTGGAGTTTTAGAGTGTTTATAGAATTGCTCCCTTTTTTGCAAAGTGATTAGAAAAAACGGAAATGAAACATGGATGTATCCAACAACACTAAATGCAATTTGCAAATCATTACTATAGCATATTTCTTGGATTTTGTGTTTTTTCTTTTTCTTTTATTTTCTTTTTAATGTTTATTGTTGAGAGAGACAGAGAGTGAGTAGGGGAGGGACATAAAGAAGAGGGAGACACAGAATCTTAAGCAGGTTCCAGGTTCTAAGCTACCAGCTCAACAAACCCATGAGATCATGACCTGAGCCAAAGTTGGACGCTTAACCACCCAGGCTCCTCAGGTTTTGTATTTTATAATTTATTGGCAGTTTAGCCTTACACACTTAAAACCCTTAATATGTTTCATTAAAGCACACAGAACATTAATATTTTAAACCTAACTTTACACTGGGACAATTAGAACATTTCCTTTTACTTATATTTACTTGTGTTTTTTTATAGATTACTTGTATTTATTTACATTTACTTATAAAGGGAGCTTGATTTTTTTTTATTGATTGTACATTGTAATGTGCTGGTTTTGCAAGTTTTTCATTCTGTAAAATAACTTCTTTTCTTCCTTTCTTAAGGGAAATCAGTCAGCTTGGTTTACAGTCGTGGCTTCCAATCTCCTCCCTGTGCACATTACTTCCTTGGACAAGGCAGATACTGTGTATCAGAAGCATGCCGGTCATACATTACTCAAGGTGAGGCAACACACTTTGAAGATTGCACAGTTAGGTTAACCTCCACTGTGACAGTCCCACAGCCCTGCTAAGAAAGCCTTTCTTGGTCATGACCATCTTTGTTATACGATCAGCAAGCTCTCTCCTCACCTCTTCTGCTTGAGGATTTTGATTAGCAAGTAAAATCGGTTGTATAAGAAAATGGATATTGTTTGGACTGATCCTAGGATAGCTATACAGACTTGTGTTTTCTCTAAACTACATTGACCAAGACAGTAGCCACAAGTGCTATTTAAATTTAAATTCATTAAAAGTAAATAAATTTTAAAATTTAGTTCTTCTGTTGCACTAGCCACTTTTCATCTGCCCAACAGTCACATCATTGCAGAAAGTGTATTGGATAATGCTGAGGGAAGAGAAGTTACAGATGTGCTCACAACTGGGGGTGCTACTGGTGGGTGGAGGCCAGGGACAATGCTAGACATGCTGCAATGCACAGGACAGACACAACAAAGAATTCTCTGGTCCAAGATGTCAGTAGTGTCATTGTTGAGAAGTCCTGGTCTGAACCTCCTCCCAGGTTCTTAATCCCAGATACTTACAGATTATTCTCACTCTTTACCCAACCAGCTCCTTCCTTCACCTGTAAGTGTGTTACAGTTTCTCTCATCTTTTTTTTTAATCTTATTTTTAAAGTTTATTTATTTATTTTGAGAGACAGAGCACAAGCTAGGGGAGGTGAGAGAAAGGGAGAGAGAGAACCCCAAGCAGGCTCTGCCCTGTCAGCACAGAGCCCAGTGTGGGGCTCGATCCCACAAACCATGAGGTCATGACCTGACCCGAAATCAAGAGTCAGACACTCAACCAACTGAGCCACCCAGACGCATCCAGTTCCTCTCATCTTTAAAAAGCAAAACAAAACTTGGGACGCCTGGGTGGCTGAGTCGGTTAAGCGTCCAACTTCAGCTCAGGTCATGTTCTCACAGTTTTTGAGTTCAAGCCACACGTTAGGCTCTCTGCTGTCAGCACAGAGCCTACCTCCAACCCTGTGTCTCTTCTCTCTGCCCCTCCCCTACTCCTGCACATGCGCACTCTCTCAAAAATGAACATTAAAAAAATTACAAACAAAAAACTCAGTGTCCCTACTGAAATTGCTGTTACAAAGTTCACCAAGTACTGAGTGGGAACCATTTTCAGCTCTTTAATAAGACATGACATAGACACTGGTAATGTATAATGTATAATATTTAGATTATTGAAGCCAGACTGGGTTCAAATGTTCGCTCTGTTCCACCACCTGACAAAGCTGTGTAATACTGTGTAGTACCTACAATCACAAGGTTTCGGTGAGGACTAAGTTCCGGGGCACTTTTGTAACTGCTATGTGAATGTTTGTGATGATGATGATGATGGAACACATCGACACAAATACCAGGTGCATCCAGCAAAGCCGATTCAGTATTAATTAGTGCTTAAAATATACATCTGTCTTCCAAAGAAGATAAAAATAAACCTGACTTGAGAAGTAAATGTTTCTTTCTCTCTGTATTTCCTAAGAAAGTCAAACTGATATTAAAACTCCATTGACGGGGCACCTGGGTGGCTCAGTCAGTTAAACATCTGACTTCGGCTCAGGTCATGATCTCATGGGTGGGGAGTTAGAGCCCTGCGTCAGGCTCTGTGCTGACAACTCAGGCTCTGTGCTGACAACTCGGAGCCTGGAGCCTACTTTGGATTCTGTGTCTCCCTCTCTGCCCCTCCTCTGTTCACACTCTATCAATTTCTCTCTTTCAAAAATAAATAAACATTAAAAAAAATATTTTTTAAAACAATCCCATTGACATAACTGCCCTAAAGTTAATATTCCAGAGACCTGTAGGATTTGCAGGATGGGTGAATATATAAAGGCAATCAGCAATATAGGATCTGTTATTTTTCTACACTTAAAACACATTAGTTATCCTGTTAAATTTGCTCACTTTTTAGGTAAAGCAATAATACGTGAGTTCAAATACAGCTTGAGATTTCCAGGAAGGAAAACATCTTAGTTTGTGTAACATGGCCCTTGTGAAAATGAACTCTGTTGTTCTCTGCCCCTGTGCACCATTGTAGTTTTCAGAGTGGACAGAACTGATGCTTTCCAAAGCAATGATCCCAGTCTTCTCTACCAGTAACAGAAATATTCTGGGGGGTGCTCTGAGACTCATTCTTGCCTCCTGGTTTTCTTACTCATCTCCCAAATCCAATCTAGCGCTCCCTTCTCATTAGCACTGAGTGCAGCCTCCCAGTTCAAGCTGTAATCTGCTTCATTAGGCTGTTTTTGAGATACTAAAGTATTCTCTTAGCTTCCAGTTTTTACTGCCCTCCTCCCACACCCACCCCAAATAAACGTCCTCAGCCACTAAAGCAGTGGCTTCTCAAGCAGAGTTGACTTTTGCCCCCAGGGGACATTTGACAGTGGATAGAGACATTTTTGTTTTTCACAACTTGGTGGATGCTGAGCAGATGCCAGGGATGCTGCTAAAAAGTCTACGATGCACCGCACAGCCTTGCCCCCCAGCCCCCATCAGAGCGTTATTCAGCCCAAAATGTCAATAGTGCCAAGGTTAACAAACCCTGCACTACAGAGATCTTTCCAAAATACAAAGCAGGTCACAGTGTTCTTTTTTATTCTTATCTCTGTTCTTTTTCCTGCTTATAATTCCTTGGTAGTTCCACGTTACTGAGAAGTCTAAACCGATCGCTTCATCACTAATACACGCACATGCACAGGCTTAATGTACCCTAGACAGTTCAACTACAGTTCCCTGAATTCATCATCATTTGTCCTGTTGGTGTACATGATGCTAACCTGGGATACCTTTCCACTAAGTAACTTCAACTCTATCTCAAAATATTCCTCAGATATTGCTGCTTGTGTCAAGGTTTTCCTTGACTAAAACATATTCATTACTTCTTCCTCCACAACTGTAGTACTATGATGTGTCCCATCACATTTCTTACCTTGTAATTTGTTTACACGTTATTTCCACCTTCTGATCTCCTTGGGGGCAGGGACCATGTTGTAACATCTATATTTGTGTCCCTAGTGTTAAGCACAGAAATATTTATTAATAAATAAGTTATTATCCAGTCACTTCTCCTTCGTGGGCACATGTATAAACAGAAGCTAAACCTTACCCATTACACATGTACCCTTCACGTGTAATGAGGCAGGGATTAATCTTTGAGGCCAGCCAGGCCTATAAGACCTAAGGTATTTTGAAGGATGTTACTCTAATTGCCCAGTGTTCTTCTGTAAAGTTTTATGGAGGTCTATAAAAACAGTGAAAACTAATAAAACAAAACTCTGCTATTAGGTTACAACAGGACATACATGCAGCTTTTTGTACTGGGATCTATAAGCTTTATCTCATCGAAAAGTTCCCATGCTTTTCATTTGAACTAGAAGTGATTTGGGGTTTTCAGTAGCTGAAAATATTATTGATCCCTGTACAGAACTATTGTATCAGTGCTTTATTTAATATTAGAGTTATGGGGAGTTTAATTTGAACTTCTAGACATCTTCATTTTATCTCAATGGCAGGTTCCAATGGGTGGAGAAGAAAGAATGGCAGGATTTCCTCCTCTCGTTGGTGAAGACATTACCTTAAATGAAGGACTTGGGGAATCTGAAGCAGTGGCTGACATCAAGTTTTCCTCTGCAGGTAATTGTACACCAAGCACTTTTTAAAAGGTGAATAGGGGGGCACCTGGGTGGCTCAGTTGATTAAGCATCATGATCTCATGGTTTGTGAGTTCAAGCCCCACATCAGGCTCTGTGCCAACAGCTCAGAGCCTGGAGCCTGCTTCAAATTCTGTGTTTCCATCTCTCTGCCCCTCCCCTGCTTGCACTCTCTCTCAAAAATAAACAAACAAACCAAAAAAAGGTGAATAGGGGCACCTGGATGGTTCAGTCGGTTAAGCACCCAACTCTTGATCTCGGCTCAGGTCATGATCTCACAGTTTGTAAGATCCAGCCCTGCATGGGACTCACGCTTGGGATTCTCTCTCCCCCGTTCTCTCTGCCCTCCTCACTCTCTTGCTCTGTCTCTGTCTCAAAATAAATAAATACACTTAAAAAAAAACAAAAGGTGAGTAAAGTGGTCTTACTGAGTTATATTTTTATGGAAATGTGCATTTAACTGACATAAACTGAGGATTTTAAGACATATACTAATTTATTTATTAAACACAACCTACTCTGAAAATAAATTTGTACCTTTTCATGAATGCATTATATGGTTTCTTTAAAAGTAAAGTGAAAGAGAGCAGTAGCCTCCTTTGGTACTCCATTTTGAGCTTGGGGTTGACATTTTTAGTAAGATGGTTACTGACACCATTTTGTGTTCTATCACATGCGTGCATAGGTTGGGTTGCAGTAACACCTCAGTTTAAGGACAGACTGCATCTCCGAGGCTATACACCTCAAGGAACAGTTCTGACGGTCCGGCCCCCTCTCTTGCCATATATCGTTAACATCAAAGGAGGGCGCATCAAGAGAAGTGTGGCCTATAAAACCAAGAAGACTCCTTCTGTTGTGTACAATCTGCAGAAGAAGAAAAAACAGATATATGTGTGAAGCTGACCCTGTTCACACTGAATATTAACTATACTGGACATAACTACACATGTTAAATTGTATTAAACATAATTATAATAAAGCTTTCTTTGCTCCCACACTTTTTAAACCACCCAGGACTATGCCTGTTTGCACTGTGTTGAGTTTGTTAATACAAGTTGGTTTTTTGTAAGGTATGTATATGTATTTGTGACCCAAGTATACCTCAAAAGGAGGTCAGTTACATTCAGGTTTCTCCCACTATTTATTAAGACAGATGTTGGGGCGCCTGGCTGGCTCAGTCAGAGGAGCATGCAACTCTTGATCTCAGGGTCATAAGCTCACACCCCACATTGGGTGTAGAGATTGCTAAAAAAAAATAAATAAACTTTAAAAAAAAAGGTGTCATTTCTTACTTGGGAGTCTAGTTGAGAGAGCAACAAAGCAGTTGGGATATGGAAAAATGTCAAAAGTTGATTTCTCCAAAATAAATGGGCTCAAATTAACATAGGAATGAATAGATCCCTCTGCTCTGCATAGTCGTCCAAGTATCCAGCTGGCGGAACATTCCATGGCTTCATCTCTAGATCTAAGGTGGTTGCTCAGGTTATCATCCCTTCCCAGCAAGTGGAAAGAGGAAAAGTGAGTGTAGAGTACAGTTTCCCTATTTTGAGGAAGGGGGAAAGGTCAGAAGTTACACACATTTCATACTTTCTATTGATCAAGTTATACGGTCATACCCACCCACATGGAAGCTGGGAGATGGAGAGGGAAATGAAGACTATTTAGGATTATTATTAAAGGAGAATAAACACTGGAGAAACAACTAAACCTTACCCTTACATAATCCTACCTAAAGATCTTAATTTTAAGATTCAGAATTCTATCCTTCAGGCATCCAAAGTCTATTCTGCAATTATCAGAGCACTTTTAGCCATTTTATCAAATCTGCCTATATAATTGCATAACATAACATCAATCAGAAGTCTACTTTTATTATTCTTAGTTGAATAAGTAGCACTATAGCTGTGTACAGTGAACAATTGCAAGTACCAGATCCCAATGTCGAGAGAAATGCTAATGGGGAAAGGCTGACCTGAAATGCAGTCTGATCCATGAACTTCCTGTAGACTAAGGTTTAGTATAAAATTAATAGACATACCCATGTTCTCTGTCAACAGGCATCCCCTAACCCTCACCTCACTAAGACCACTTAGAATAAATGGTTAGCATTTTAAGATGTAACTTGTAAAAACCATAGATCTTGCTTTCATCATGTTTCAAAGTAAATACTATTGGCATCTTGGGGAAGAGAGTTCTTTTATGCTTAAGACTGCATTTCAGAATGCCAGCATGTCTCATCCCCAAATAAATAAATGCCAGTAGCCTCTCCTCCTGACCCATTAGTCATAGTGACAAATGAAAAGTACCCCTCGCATTTCCAAGCCCACCCTCTAGAGGGCGGTAGCTTCCCAAATTGAGAAAATCAATTTCTCGTTTTTATTTTGGAGAAATTTGTGTAGAAATAGAGAACCTAAGAACTGATGCTGTCATTTCCCTGATAACTAATGAATATGTATGTTAGAAAGCAAAACATTCCTCCTCATTGTCTCTAGGTTTTGGGGCCCCTTGATTAACAAAGATTCAGTTTTTAAATGTTCATAATTTATACTCCCAGATCTCCTTTACCTCTAAAACTCTATGAATAAAAAATAAATAAATAAAAATAAAACTCTATGGTTTTGCAAAGCTTCACTGAAGCAGATGTTCAGTGTACCTTTAAGTTTCAAACAGCAAATCAACTAAGCAAGTTTAGTTTCCCTGGTTATATTAGTTAATATCTCCAGGTTCATTATCCCACCTAAGAATGAGGGGAAAACAGATTTTTCTTAGTCCTTTTACAATTCTCAGTGAAAACAGGCAGGAAAGTCAAGAAAGATAGGTTCCAATACCGCAAACAGGCCGCCACATGCCTTGACAGTTGAGGACTTCTGCTAGGATCTGTATTAATTCACTCCATATTCTGCATTACCTAATGCAGCCCAGGATCACTGCTGGTATATTTCACTGCTCCACTGTAGATTTTACTTAAAGAAAATTCTGTCACTGTGTTGGTTTCTGAGCTTTGGTCAGTTTACTGATACTTGTTAATCCAGTAATTGGAATATGAAGACTTCCCTTGAATCATTAATCATTTCCAGTATGGCAACATACAGGAATAAGTAAAGAGGAGAATTGATGGCAAAATGTCAGGACAGCCTGCTCACTTTTCCACAGAACAGTGATTGTTTTGAGTGGCTAGAAAACAATTGAGCAAGTTCATACTAGATCACTTACAAGCTCTGCAGCTTTGTGTTTAACATGTCACCTCTTTTGTGTTCATGACACCTAAAAGAAGGGAAAGATGTGCCATTCAAAAGTTTTTGACTCCTATGTAACATTAAGTTTTTTTTATTTTACATTATACCTCACCTCTCCTTTTCCCCTCCTTGAAACAGCAGCATTTTCTTCAACGTTACTGAAACATAGTTTAACACATTTCGTATTTTTAATCACCATAAATGGCAATTAGAACTTTACTCTGTAGTTCCCCAGAGTCTAAATTTGTTTGTTACTTGCAACACTCATTTCCCATGACAACCAAGGAGAAGTAGAGCACAGATGCAATCGTGTACGCTTGTGTTTGAGCATACAGACACTGCCTACAAAATGGAGATCAAGGCCAGTTTCCTGCAGATGACTAACTTGGAACTCCAGCTGTGCCAGCCATGGCAGAGCTATGATTGCTTCACTGAGTAGGCACCCAGTGCTCGAGCTGAGGCGAGCTGTTTCGTAGACAGCCTCTGATCATTTACCCTGGCTTCGCTCCCACTTGGCTCTGTCTGGTGGAGCAATAGAATCATTTCCATTCTTTCTCAGACTGTTCCATTCTCTTGGCTGCTTTCCTCCTCCCAGGGGGATTGTTTTCTCAACTGTCAAAGAGTAATGCTTAAACATTAAAAACAAGACCTCACACTCATGTGAATCAAATAGCACCTCTCCCTGCTCTTAATGTCTCTGTGTCATGTCATCTGCCCCATTCATGTTCTGTAGTGGGAGGGGGCATCTCAAGATTAATATTTTAACATCATATAGGAATGACATCTCATTTTTTTCCTTCATGTCAAAGAGCATTGTTATTCTCTCATTTAGTATAAGACTTTCATGATCTGAATATTCCTAAATCTGTCTAAAGCATCCTTAAAATACCCATGTCTTAGACCCTCAGGTCCCTGTTTTTCAAAAGCTTCCATTTCCCTCCCAAATAATTATCAGAATTTATCTTCTAGGTAATCAACCTAGTGGAAGAATTTCTTTGGTGGAGGGTGCTTGGGTGGCTCAGTTGGTTAAGTGTCCAACTTCCCCTTGGGTCATGATCTCAAGGTTTGTGAGTTTGAGCCCCGTGTCAGGCTCTGTGCTGATAGCTCAGAACCTGGAGCCTGCTTTGGAAGCTGTGTCTGTCTCTCTATGCCCCACCCCTGCTTACGCTCTGTCCCTCAAAAACTAATAAATGTTTTAAAAAATTTTAAGTATTTTCTTTGGTCTTCATATTCTCTTTGGTAGATGCAACAGATATGGTGCTCAATTGCAAACATTATCAGTACCTCTAGCCAGTAGCTGTGGTAAATCTGCCGAAAATGGGCAGAACCACAAAACAAAAGAACCACATATGCTAGAGAATATATCATCAGATGATTTCAGAAGTGAAAGATTGCCAAGATCCTTTCTAACTTTTCAGTAAGTCCCTGGAAAATAGCAGGCATATGCTATTCAGCATAACTAAATGAATTAGGAGAATGGGGGGGATTTTCTTGTTTGATAGGTTGTTTTTTGCCTTCCCTGGAATATAACAACAGAGAAAACTTCAATTTGCTTTATATAGCATTTGCATTCTTCTAGGGTTTCCTCCTTTCCTGCATAAGAGCACCACCTCATAGTAGTTGTATTTCAGACTATTCATAGTTTCTATGGTCATATGATAGCCCATATTATCTTTTTATCCCTTTATATTTTAATAATAATAGTATCTCTCCCTTATATAGCACATACAATAAGCCAGGCACTAGAGCACCTGAGTGACTCAGTCAATTGATTGTCTGACTCTTGGTTTCAGCTCAGGTCATAATTCCAGGTCCATGGGTCTGAGCCCCGCATCAGGCTCCATGGCCAGCTTAAGATTGTCTCTCTCTATTTCTCTTTGCCCCTCCCCTACTCACACTAAGATAAAAATAATAATAATAAATCAGGCACTGTTGCAAGTGCTTTACATATATTTCCTGAATCCTTCCAGCAACCCCATGTAGGAGGTACTATTATACCCATATTTACAGATGAAGAAACTAAGGCATAAGTAATTTGCTCAGGGTCACACAACTAATGAATGGTGGAGCTGTGATTCAAACAAATCCAAGCAGTCTAGGTCTAGCACCCCTGTCGGTGTGTTTAATTTTACAGTAAAACTTTTTTCCCTTTCATTATAGTTGTATGGATTTCAATATACATATAGGTTTGTATAATAACTACCATAATCAGGAAACAGAGCAGTCCCATCTGATAGTACCCAGGTTTCTAACCACTACACAATACTTCCTCTTTATATGGGAACCCATCACAAGCCTAAAGGAGAAAACTTTTCAACCTCAGGTGGGGAACATGTTATCTCAGAAAAGAAAGGTAACCCACTTTGAAGATCTCCAAAGGTAATGACAATTTCCATGGAAATGCTGTAACTAGTACATAATTCTTTTTAGCTACCTTTGAATCCAGCTATACACAGTTCTACGGTGAGAAGACTATTTCTCAGGGCTAGGGTGGTGTGAGAGAGAGAGAGAGAGAGAGCGAGAGAGAGAGAGATGTGGTATACTCTTGCAGTCTTTTCAGCAAGGCTGAACAACCCCAAGTCCCAGTGTGATTTCCATGCTCCCTGCTCTCTTACCATCTCGGATAGCTTTAAATCAACTGTGCTTTCATGGCTGGCTGGGAATTTTTTCACATTGCTAGTGAGCTTTGCCAAGTACCACGGACAGATCACAGCATGAGTGGAGATCCTGACCTACAGTTCTGATTAAGAAAATGGTACATTAAATACACAGGAAATCTG